GACAAGGATTTCGAAATTCAATATTCGTTAAAATGGAAACCGTATATTGTGTTTCCAAGTTTGGATAATTCAGGGTTTCAATGGAAAACAGACAAATGCTAAATGCGCATCAATTTGGTTTGATTATTTCGACGACCATTGTATAATTTTCAATTCGCTTTTCCCTACATTTATGTAAAATTTGATTTCTCGGTCGAAAAATTGATAGAAACGACGATCTTTTTATCCGATTTTAATCATAAAATCCCTCCCATCTTCGTGATTTATTTAAATAATATATCATTTCTTACAAAATAATCTATAATTTGTGTTTCTAATTTGTGTTTAACATCTTACTACGATTCTCAACCTGCCAATATATTTACTAAACTTCTTAATTATAAATATCCTATTTTTCCTATTTTTTTTTTTTTAAATTTAACGAAATATTCCTATTCTATTTTTTTTAACTAATATTTTAATTATTACGTGCGTTTTGAAATCATGACGACACATGTTTTAATTAAAAAATAACACTATAAATCCCTAACAAGCTTGATACCATATGTTAAAAGCAAAATTACTTAAAAAATATTTCTACCATTTTCTAAATAATGTAATAACGATTTCATTAAAAGTTGCAAAAGTTAAAAAAAAATGTTTAAAAAAAATCCATTATAATTTCCAATAATTCAATGTATTTCGAGAGATAGAAAAATGATAGATATAGGATATTTTAAGTGAAACGAAGAGGGCAGCACGGTCGGCCTCAGTCGGTATTTAAACGAAACGTAGAAACATAGTGTAACACGGATCGAAGGGACGAACGAAACGAGGGGAGAAGTACGATAGGGAAATCCATGGTGATAATTAATTCCATGTCGCTGACATATGGTGCTCACGGGGATGCTATTTCGAATTACCATACGTAAGCTATATTGTTCAGAGCGGCGGATGGCTGCGAGCTGTCGCTACCAGACAAGGCGTTTAATTGACTGAGTTAATTCGAACTAAACAATGATTAAAACTGAGACTGGACTCGGCGGTTTGTTACGCGCGATCCCTGTGATGGAGGTTCATCAGTTTTGTAATCCGCCACCATTTACCTGTCCCGCTGTTTATTTGAAAATCGAGAATTCTGAGCTATTCAAACGCTTGTGCGTGTTGCGTATTTGTGTAACCGGTTTAATTAAATAATGAATATAAATTCTTTTCGTTCTTAAAAATATATTCTGTTCCATCCAAGATATTTATATTTGTAAAAAAGTTTTGGGATAAAATAGATACAGAAATCGATGTAAAAATATTTTTATCTTTAAAGATATATATATATATATATACATATAGGTAAATGGAATTTTGTAAGTGTACAGAAAAATCGTATTTATTACCAAGATTATTGAAGATTAATATTTTTATTCAAGTTTATAAATGGTTATAAAAAATGAATTGACACGTGCGAGAGAAACGTAATCGAATTCCACTATTTCCACCGAAATGTCACGTAACAGCGTGGAATAACAATGAGTCTTCGCTTATCGTTGCATTACATTTACGAGGAAATCGTTAACGAGTGTTAAATCGTTTACATCTATTAACTATACATGTTACGGATAAAGAGAACGAGATTATTTTGAGATATCGGGATTAAAAGAACGATATATAATCCGAATATTTGAACTCTATTTGAATATTTAAAAGGTAAACTTATAAATAAGTAATACCTCTTGAATTGAGCTCGTACGTTATCGATTATTGGCAAATTACGTGAAAAATATTCCATGTATCGAAAACATATACAGAGATCTGATAAAGGGCGGGAAAATTCAAATCGATATTAGTTGATATATATTTTCGACATTCGTCCTTCGAAGAAAATACATGGAAAGTTGACAAAGTTCTATCAATTAGGAATAGAAATCATTTCAATGAAAATAAATGTTAAGTGTTCAAAAAAAATAAAGCGATATTATACGAGAAATAATTGATAATAATTATTAAACGATTAAAATAATATTAGTTAAGGATATTAAATTTTCGTTAGATGAAGAGAGAGAGGCAGAGCGCAATAACAGTCTGTGTAACGGAAATAGAACTATCTTAATCTATGCGTCTCGCTTGATTTAATGAGAATTTCAATTATTTATTAACAATTAAATATTATATCAACTTTTTTGCGATTGTTTCGATTTCTAAAACTTCAATTTTCCAAAGATGCCCCACGGATATTTTAACGTTGTGTACATGTAATACAATGTTACATCACGAGCCAATTGCGCAAACATATTAATGACACGTTATGCAAATACAAGCTAACAAGTTTGTTTTGTTCAATCAATAGTGATGATCGATTATTAGCCAATCAATTGTCGAAACGTTGTTTCTACTTAAGAATGATAATTGATCAAACAAATTGCATAAAGATTTTCATTAATAAGAGAAAGATAATCTATTTTTATTACTAATTATTTATTATTATTATTATGCAAAAATTTGAAATTATCGAAACATCCAAATAAAAAATAATTTAATATAAACACACTATAACAATCTAATTAAATTTGTCTTCCAGATTTTTAATCCACCGTAAATAATTTAATTCGTAAAAATAAATATAAAAATAAAAAGTTCGAATCTGAATTAAAAAAAAATTAAAATTTGTTGAAATTTCAATTCTTGACAAAATATTTAATACGAGGATCGATCCAATTTAAACGATTAAATAAATACATTTGATAAAATTTTGTGTATCGAGTTACATCAATTGGAAAATAATTCGAATATAAAATATAAACGATATCTTCAGGATATCCTAAAAATCGACGATCGTTCCACGGTTTCCTAGATGCGCGAGAACAAATTTATCCTCTGAAATGAAATTTTATTGGCAATCCAAATCGAATTACCAGTCTTACATGCCTGCGATAATGTCGTACAAACAAAAGGGTGAGGTGGCACGTGGTGTCGTTAAAGATAGTTACTCTACCGGTTCTAGCTATCCGGGGATACCATTAATTTAGAATTGAACCGATTGGATCGTGAAATCGTGGATAAGAATATCGAATCGAAATGGAAGGAAAAAAGAACGATGCACAAAATGTTCGCGCGGAAAGAAAGGAAAAACGTATAAAGAAAATGGAAATAGAAAAAAAAGTAAGGTTATAGACTGACTGGAGGTGAGTCAGACACGTCTGGAGATAAAAGGAACCCGACCGAGGGATCCACTTCGCTGGAAACTGAGTCGGCGAGATTGGATGGAGTGCATATTAACCTCTCGGTAGACCTGCGATGAGGTCAGATAGTGTCGACTTATTTATTTGTTTCTTGGAAAGAAAAGGGAGAAAGTTAGAGGAAGGATTGTGAGAGGATAAAGACCAATTCGTGTTCTAAGGGAGATAAATTTTCGGAATAGAAATTTCGAAATTGTTTGCTAGGAAAAGTGTAATTTTGTTCCAAATATATGTTGTGATCTCTTTTTAGAAACTATTTTTCAATAAACGTGTTTGTGCTTAAATCTATTAGATATGAACACTTGCGACATCTATATTTATTCTTTTAAACATGATTTCTAATTAATATGAGTATTTTATTTATTCGTTGATTCGAGAGTATTGATACTAAGAGTTTTATATTATAAAAGATGGAAATCTACAATACAGTTTATACGTAACGATATAGTCTTTTATATGCCCATCTTTGATTAACCTATAAATTATTTTGATTGGGATTACACATTGTGATCTATCCTGGTCTATCATTAATTTGACTTTAGCATTTAATTTCTTCTTCATCCATTATAAATCAAAATCTATTTAATAGGAATGTGAAAGCATGCGAATGAATAATGATCACAAGAATCTATCTCGCGTGGAATTTTCCTTAAAATTTTTTCTGGAATATCTATAGTATATTAGCGATTTAAGCGATCATATGGAGGAAAAATACAATATATCACATTTGGAAATTGCATCTAATCTAATCAATTATCTACGTTTCTTCGACCAATTTGTTTCGTGTTATTTTTATAACAAAAAATGTTTCGATCTATTTTTACACTAAAATCCCAATTGCGAATCTGCGTTGAACTATAATATTTCGTAAAATTAAATTAATGTAAAACGATTCGACTAGGAATAAATCTATTCGAAATTTTATTGATATGAAAACATTTTTTCAAATTAATTTTAATTTAAAATGAAGTGGCGTAAAAAGATATAAAATATTTATTTTAATAGAGAATAAATTGACTAATAGAAATATATCGTGCGCAATGTTTTATATAGATGAGATGATTGTATCAATAAAATGGAAATTTTATATTCTTAGAAAATTGTTAATGCTGTTAATAAAAAGAGAATATTGAATAATAAAAGATTGAAAATTATAATGTATATTTAAATTTAATTTATAAACATTTTGAAGTGAAATATTTTAATATTTTTATTTTCATTTATACTGTATGAAAAGAATAGAAATAGGATAAGAATTGATCCTAAGCGCCATCTTTTAAATGTCGAAAATATTTCTCCAAAGACAGAATAAAAGATAAGAATTGAAGATCAGCGACATCTCTTAAGTGTTAAAAACATTATTTCTAAAAATATTGAAAATATAACACTTATCTACAGACAAGAAACGAAGATTAGAATAGTGCTGACATCTCGTGTGTCTGCATGAATATCAATCTCGAAAAAGATCAGACTTACGCCATCTACCATTTTATAATCTAAATATAAAATGAAATTATTTGAAAAGAACAAAGTAAAAATCAAAAATCAAAAGTCTCTCTTTATAATTTTAGAAACTAAAACGAGAATGTTATCTATCAGTTTAATAAAATTTCTAGTTACCGAAAATATAATTTCGATTGTATAATTAGTTCATATTTTTTCTTATAAAATATTTTTTCTTATAATTATGATATTTTTAAATATATCCTTATAATTATAACACTGATATTAACAAAATGATGTGATTATATATTATATATTAAAGAATAATGATTTCTAATAATGACTCACCGATTGTTGCGAAAATTGCAGATTGTTGCGAAGATTTAAAGTCTCATCTTGATCACAACACCACAAAGTCTTATTCACTCCTTTTTGCGCACAGAAACTTATTTGTTTTCAAATAAATTCTTCTTTTGACGTAAATTTTCAAACTTTTAATCGTTGTTAAACACAAGACGCACAAGAAACTAAGAAGAAACTGGCGCGGCACAGAAGTGATGCGAACATGCGCAATATGATGCGGACATGCGCAGTATGATGCGGACATGCGCAATATGATACAAGCATGCGTAGTATGATATAGTTATGCGCAATATGATGTGCGATGATCCGTTTTGGCGCTAAATCTTAGCTATTTTCTGATTGGCTGAAATTTGGTTTGCTATTCAACCGCGCAAAATTTGAAAAAATATATAGTTTAATTATACATTTTTAATACAAGATAGTCAAAATCTTATGAAAATATTTTAATTAAAAATATAATAAGAATAAATTATAATTAATTTAATATAAAAATTATTTGAATTAAAAAGACTGCAATATATGATTAAATATTTAAAATAAAAATGAATCAAATCTGAAAAGAATATTATATAAAATAAAAATTAAATATAGGTAAATTAAAGAATATTGAAACATGATGAAAGAATTAAAATATTTTAAAAGTACAAGAAATAAATAATAAATACTAAATACTGATTAAATACTAATTAAAAATATTTACATTAAATTCAATTATAAACATTACAACATAAGAAATTAAACATAAAGAAAAGCAATAAAAAATAAAATAGATAAATTATTGAAAGTAAATGATAATAAAAAAAATAAAAAAATATATTTATATATTAATGTAATTATTAATATATACATATATTTTATTTTATATATATATCAATGTATGTATGTTGTCATTTTTCATTTATTAAAAAATATTATGTTACAAGATTTATTGAATATTAGAATATATTAAATTTTATTAAATTGTTTCTTAGTATATTTATGTAAATAAATATATTGATATGCAATAAATTGAATTTTAGTATTTTTTCTTTATGTATTTCCTTCTTTCAGAGGTTATGTATCATTCTCTTATTTAAGGTTATTCTTCTATTTATACCATAAGGTAGTTTAAAGTTATATTGCCACATTTAATTTAGTAACAAACAATTTTATTATTTTAATAATTTAATTTATGTAATAGACGTATTTTTAATTCTGAATAATTTAAATTTATGTAATTATAATAAATATAATAAATTATTATAGAAAATATAAATTGTATTTTTTAACTAATATGCCTTTTAAGCATATTAATAGTAATGATTAAGATAAGTAAATTATAAAATTTTCTATAATTTGTATATAATTAGGCTATCTTTTGATAATATTTTTTATTATATTATTATAAGTTTAAAATTATGACAACTATGTGTAAAGACAAAACACAAGAAATTTTGCAGAAAGAAGAACTTCAACTGCTAAGTAAATCAGTAAATATATTTAATTTTATCAAGCCTTCAATATTTTTATTAAGTTTCAATAAGAATTAAGATATTTTAGTATAAATATATTACTTTATAAAAGTTATTTTTATAAAGTTTATTTTTATTAGGAATTGATAGAAAGGATAGTAAATTTAGAAAAAGAAAATAAACAATTAAAGACTGTAACTAATGAAAAAAATGAAAAATCAAAGAATAAAAATATTATTCGTAAATCACAAAAACCATTTGACTTTTCAAAGTATGTAAATATAGATAAGAAAAAACTGTGATAAAATTATTAGAATTGATATTATTTTAATTTTAGATGTAACAAAAGACACATTTTGTTAAAATTTTATTATCTTGGGTGGAATTACAATGGTTTTGTTGTACAAGAGAGTATTAATAATACAATAGAAGAACATTTATTTGAAGCATTAATAAAAAGTTGTTGTATAGAGTCACGTGAAACATCAAATTATCATAGATGTGGAAGAACAGACAAAGGTGTTAGTTCATTTTCACAAGTAATTTCTTTGGATATAAGGAGTAAACTAAATCCAGAGGATCAATATAAATTAGAGGATGAACTTCCATATTGCAAAATGTTAAATAGATTACTTCCATCTAACATAAGATGCATTGCATGGTGCCCAGTACCTAATGATTTTTCAGCAAGATTTAATTGTAAATTTAGAACTTACAAGTACTTTTTTCCAAGAGGAAATTTAAATATAGATGCTATGGATAAGGCTGTTAAATATATTATAGGAGAGCATGACTTTCGAAATATTTGTAAAATGGATGTTGCTAATGGAGTTACTAATTATATAAGAAAAGTTATTAATGCAGAAGTATGTATGTATCGCCAAGACTTTAGAAACATTTCAGGTAAGTATTTTATTTTAACTAATTAATAATTAGAAATAATATCATAGATATATATATACATTTACAGATTTAAAATACATTATGTTGAGTAAAATGAGTTTTTTATTATATTGTACATTATATTGTACTATATAATCTTTATTTATAGGATACGATATGTGTCAATTAATTATAACAAGTCAAGCATTTCTATGGCATCAAATTCGTTGCTTAATGGGTGTTTTATTTCTTATTGGTGAAGGAAAAGAAGAGGCTGAAATTATGTTGAAACTTTTAGATATTGAAAATTGTCCTAAAAAACCACAATATAATTTAGCTCATGAAATACCATTAAATCTTTGGTACTGTGAATATGATGCTAAGGAATGGTATATTCATAAAGATGAATTATTCAATACAATAAAACTTTTACAAAAAGATTGGACTTTAAATACAGTAAGGTACGTAAAATTTTAATAAATGATATATTAGAAATAATTTTAAAAAATTAATATTTATTTTAAAAAGCATAATTTTCATTTTAATAGATCAGTAATGATTGAAAACATGTTATTGGAGTTAGAAAATTCAATCAATTATAAAGATATGTCTTTTCAAAGTGATTGCTTATTACTTGGAGTACAATCTAAAGTGTATCAACGTTTAATGAAACGACCCACGTGTGGTTAGTTTTAAAATCCATTCATTTTTTTTCAATTTTAAAAAAATAATATTTTCTTATATAGTAATAATATAATAATAATATTTCTTCTCAAGAAAAAAATTTTTTTGCAGAAAGCTTGGAAAGTAAAATAAAACACTATGAAACTAAAAAAAAGAAAAAGGAATAATTTCTAAAATGTAATTCATAAAATTTATTAAAATTACTTTCTCATGTGATTTATTAAATAAATGAATGTATTATTTTTCAACAATAAAGAACTTTAATTTTATCAATTTATTATTATACCCTTTAAAATTTTAAGACAGATAATAGAAAAATAATTTAAAATATATCTCATTGCTTTATATCTTTCTATATTTAAAATAAAATTATATTATCAAATAATTGTACAAAACAGGAAAAAAAAACTTCAAGATATTATGTTAAATATACGAATTATGAGACACGAATTTTATAAAATTAATTGTATTTAATTTGTATATTGTCTGAATTTTGTTTTGCTTTTCGTTTCGATCCATAGAACCGAAGGAACATGCGCTTACGTCTGTTCCGGTCTTGCACTTGCGCCTTTTCAGTATCACTCTTATCGAGCTTACGTTCAGTTGCCTTCTCATAACTTTTTTTGATCATGAATATGAAAAACCAAACGTGAAAGCTAATAAAAATTTGAAATTATTTAAAATGATTAGTTGAACGATAAAATTAATCTAATAAACAATGTTTTAATTACCGAAAATTAATATCGGAAAAGGTATGTCTTTCATTACAATTAAGATATTTAATTATTCATTTAATAATTGGAAATCTAAAATTTCGATAATATAGTATTATTTATATAGACTAATATATTTTTTATAAATTTCTTAATAATTATATTTTTTAAATACGATACGTTCAGTTCCTTTTAGTTAGTATCAAAATATTCAAAATTTTACAATAATTCATGCATAATTTTATCTTATTTTTTCAAAATTAAATCTAGTACAATTTTCCAAAAGAAAATCTTAATTTCAAATTTAAGAAATTTATTATTAATAAATGGTTAAATTAAAATTAATTCATAAAATGTGATAAAAATAATATCATTCATACTCTTTGTCACCGGAAATAGTAAAAAATTTTAGGCGGGAAATATATGATGAATATAATTTTTTAAAAAAATAGATTTAATAATGCATATTTCTTTAAATGCATGTAATTTCATTTGCTTAAATTGTATTTTTTATTTATTTAGATGCTGTTAAACAAGCAGGTGTGTTCCATATATACAGAGATCTTTTTTATTTTTTGTATATCGAATTTGATAGAATGCTTTAGTGTACCATGCACATTTAATACCATGTGCATGTGTTGGATCCAAGACGACGAGGATTTCACGAAAATGGATATTAATTGTATGGGAGTACCATTTGCCAGATTTCCAGGTAGATAAAATAAAATTACGTAGAAAATAAATTTATTTTCTTTTCTTTAATTAAAATTAACATATAATAATTAATTGAAATGATAATATATATTGTTTTTGAATTTCTCGTACAAAATATTTATATTTAAATAAAAAAATATATATTTAATAATAGATGTCTCCGTGAGTTATGTGGCTCAATTAGACGTAGTTGGATCTGGAATGCAATCGTTAGACAATGATGCACTTACAAGTTCAGTCGGTGTCGAAGCTTTGGGATTAATGAGCAATCGATTGTCCAATATTGGCGATAAATCTTTTTCGTAAGTCAGTATAATGAAATTACATGTTTGCTTTATGTTTGCTTTATTATTTTCATGTGATATTTGTTGCAGCGATTTCAATATAAATTACGCATTAAATTATAACAATTTGCTACGTGAACTTTTCTTTTTAAAGATAAAATAATATGTTTTGAACATCTGTTATTAGAGGTATTGCGGACAGTTTACGCTCGTTAGATCTCAGCTACAATGCCTTGGAGGATGTGCCATTTAAAGTCTTTCGTGACTTGAAGAAACTAAATTGGCTCAACATGCACAGGTATATAAAATGTAATACAAATTTCAATATTAAAGAACAATCTATTAAAAATTATCTATCATGAATTATATATTAATTTACTTTAATTGTAAAATAATAAAAATTAATTTTTATTAGGATATTTATCTGATATTCTTTCAATTTTAAAAAAAATAATTAGAAATAGAATTGTTTTAGATACTTTAATACTTTTAGATACTTTTCATATATCATATTTTAATTTAATTTTAGCAATCATTTAACATCGCTAGACGGTGACTGGGGTCACTCGAAAG